CGGTAGTTGACACCCGGTCTCTGGGGACTGTGGGCCGGGGGGGGCGCTGGCCGGCTCCCCCCCTCCCTTCAGTCCCTCCATCGCGGCGCCGCCCTCCACCACCTGCGGACGGACGGGGCGGGGGGGTGAGGAGCGCGGTTTGGGACGCTGACACCCGCCGGTTTCGGTGTCAGGAGCTCGGGGTGGAGAACGCGGGGTGCTCCGGCCCGTTCCGGGATGGGGGAGCTTCCCCGAACTGCACCGGGGGCTTATCCCGGGGGAAGCGGGGGATTATCTCGGAGGAAGCGCCTCCCGCTCCGGGGCAGGTCTGGGGCGCGGTGCTGCCGCCCGTGCGCGGCGCCCCTGATACCGCCGGTGTCACCGGCTCCGCTGGGACCCAGCCGGTGCTGGGCTGGGGCGCTGAGTGTGGATGGGGAGAGCGGGAGTGCAGCACCCTTGGGCGGGACCTGGGGGCACCTGCTTTGTGAATCGGTTGGGATTTTTGGGGAGCCCTTCTGCCCCTTCCAGGGCGCTCCTCCCTGGCCGTGGGGCTGCCGGGGGAGGCTCCCAAACGCAGGCAGGGGGACCCTGAGCCTGTGTAGCCTCTCCTGACGTGGGGGGAGCGCTCCGCGTTTGGGGAAGAGCAGTGTGTTCCCGCCTGACACTTCCCAAAAGCAGCAGAGTAATCCGCGGAGCATCCTCTGCCTGTGCCGCCCTGCCCGGCCGGAGCCCCCCGACTTCCCGGGCTCACCCCGCGCCCCGGCAGGCGGCAGCCCCGTGCCCTGGCTGGCAGCTCCAGCCAGGTGAGGGCTGCCTTGGCAGCCCACCGGTGGCCAGCGTGAGGAGGGTGGTTGCCCTCTGCTTGGGGCGTAGCCCCGGCACGGCATGCCGGGCACACGTGTCGCATCGCCAGCGCGGCTTGGGCGGGCAGCGGCCCGCGGAGGCCTCGGCTGTGCCTGCTGGTGCCACAGCAGCGAGTGTAGCTTCCCCTGCTCTGGCTGGGTGCTGCAGGAGCTGGTGGCCACGCTCAGGCCATCTCAGTCTTAAACCGTTGGCTCAAATCCTGTCTCCCCATGTGCCCGCTCTGGGGCTGCAGGCATCTTCCCTTCTCCCCTACAGTGCTGGCTGCTTGGGCGCAGAGTGGCCTGAGCCCAAGCCTGTCCTTGAACATCCCTGTGACCTGCAGCCTCTTCCTTCCCCGCTGTGCTGCTGAGCATAAAACACAGGGAGCTCAGCTGGCACGGAGGGTGTCCCCTCTTGAGCTAGGGGGGCACAGGGGTCCTTGGCAGGGAGGAGAGCGGGCAGGGATGCGGAAGCAGGCTGGGCTGGTTCGTACCCCCGCCCTGACAACACAGAAGCGGTGAGGGCTGAAGGAGGTGCCCAGCCCCAGGTGGATCAAAGGGAGTCCTGGGGGAACGCAGCCTCGTTCGTCAGTGACTCATGGCTGTGGGACTCCTTGTTGCAAGGCGCTGAGTCAAGGAGGGCTTTGGAGATCGTCTGCCCTCCCTCCCTTCCACACTGTGGGCAGGAGCCGCGGGAAGAGGCTGGTTTGAGTGGGAGGATTTTGCTTCCTCCAAATGTCCAGTGCTGGTCATGACTGGAAACCTCTTATTAAATGCTGCCTTTGGGGAGAGCCAGCCCTGGAGCCAAGATGGGCAGGGCCATGCAACCCTGGGGCCACCCCCCAGACCCCCTTGCTGTCCGCAGGCGGGGGTGAGGCGGCCCCTGTGTCCCTCTGCTGCTGATGCTCCTGAGATCCCTCCCGCTGTTTCCTCCGGCAGCCCGTGTGCATCTGCCTGCCGGTCACCACTGACTCAGGGCTGCACGCTGGCGCTTGGCAATGCTGAGCATGTGAGCCTGGATGTGATTCTCTGCTCCTCCCAGTATTTCCAGGAGCATTGGCTGGGAATCATCACAGCCAGGCTGTGCTGTAGACGGCTGCCAGCGGGGCTCTGCGCCGGGCTCTGACTAGCAGCCAGAGCTGTCTGAGGGAGGGGACTGGCTACTCCTCCGTAGCCTGGTCTGCATGACAGGGTGGAGTGGTGTCACCGTTGGGCTCCACTTCCAGGCAGAGAGCTGTGGAAGAGGGTGGCCTGGGCTGCTGAGCCTCAAACCACTACAGGCTCCTGCTCTTTGGGGCTGCTGTGTCAGCGTTCAGTAACAGGCTGGGGGGGATTTGGGATGGATGGATTCATGGCGTTACTGTGGAGGCCCTGGTGTTGATTCCCAGTCTGGTCCTGGGATGCCTGTGCTCCAGGGTCGTGCAGGGCTGTGCCATGGCCAGAGTTGCCTGCTCTGTCTGATGGAGGCAGGTCTCTGAAGAGCCCCGGGCACTGGGGTTTTGGGCATGTGGCTTTGGTGCTGCCATGTTTTAGGAAATGCCTATTTAGTGAAACGCCTGCTCTCCCTCTGGTGAAGCTTTCCTATTTCCAGAAGAGGATTTCAAAGTACACACAGAGACTGGGAGCATTTTCTCCTACATGGGTTCAAGCTTGTGCGGGCTGCGGTACCTACATGAAATGTGGGTGAGCCACATCAGATACACATCCCCCACAGTTTGTCCAGTATCTCCCCGTCCTGCTCCAGGGGGAGGACAGCTCACTGTCTGCTCCCTGACGCTTTGGGAAGGAGATGTGCTTTCCCAGGGCTCCGTCCTTGGTGCCCTTATCTTCCCCGCCTGCGTTATCTCTGCCTAAGCCCATCTGCAAACAGGAATTCACGTTCTGTCTCGTGCCAGTGACACGCCTGTGCTGCTGCACCGCTTCTGGCGGAGGCTGCGTGTCCGACGACTGCTCAGGTGAGGGCTGCAGCCCCTGCCCTTGCCTGGCATCTTGCTTTTCCTGGCTGCCCTACAGCACTGGGCTGCGTGACACTGTGGAGTGTGGTGCAAAGGCCTTTCTGAAATTATCCAGCATTACCTGAACATCCCTGGAGCTGTCTGGCAGACTGGAAAGGATGCGGAGTTGGGAATTTGAAGGAAGAAGAGCAACAGAGCTGCTTTTGTCCTGGATTGTGAGCACAGTCCGTGTAGCTTGCAGCAGAGGTGTCGGGGTAGGGCCCCAGCAGTAGCAGCTGGCTGTATCCCTGTTGCTGACTCCTGCGCTTTTGTTATATGAATTTCGTAATGTTTTTGGGCTTATCTGAAGCGCCAACAGTCCGAGTTGGAGGAGCGCGTGACAGTCCGTAGGGTGAGGGGAGCCTGCCTCTCCCCTCCCTGTCCAGCACAAGCGATGTGTGCTGCTGGGCAGAGCCTGGGAATTGCTGGGGCTTTAGAATTTGTCTATTCCAGTCATGCAGCTGTGGAGTGAATTGGGTGGGAGTTTTCTGTGTGGAGGCATCCCTAGTAGTCAGAAGAGTCTCTGGCTGAAAGAGGCACGGGGCTTTGTGCAGTAGGGTGGAGTGGCCCCAACCTTTCCCCAAACAGCAAGGGGAAAAGTCCCCTGTGCCATCTTCTGACCTGCAATGCAGCTGTGTCCCACCTGCCTCCCCTGCGTCTTTGGGAGTGGGCAGTGAGCTCAGCCGCTGCTTGCAGCACAGGCTGTTGGGAGCCCTGTGCGCCGCAGAGGAGATCAGCACTGGTAGTGGTGCTTTTGCAAAGTGTTTACTTGGCTTCCCATGCTCCTTGACAGTGCTTTTCCCTCGAGGAGGATGACCTGAACTTAACGTCACTGGATGCAGAAACCATCTTGGAAGCTGAAGAGATCCTGGGGACGATGCAGAACTATCTCGACTCCTCTGTGATCTCCATCATCGAAGACCTCTCTCTGAGCGAGGTGGGAGCCCACACACGGGCATGGGAAGTGGTGGCTGGGCTGGCTCTGGCCATGGCATGGGTGGGGTGGTGACAGTGTCCCCTGTGGCCTTGTCCCACCACCTTCTGAGGCTGCCCCTGCCCTTGCAGCAGAGCAAGGCCTGCCTGGATGCGCAGAACGAGCTGTCCCTGCTGACAGCCATCACCGAGATCCTGGACAGCACAGACGATGAGACCCTGTCCCCCTTTGACACCATCATGGACGCAGAGTTGCTGACCTCGCCTCGGGAGCGGGAGAATCCCTCGGTGAGTTGCGGGGCAGAGCCAGCCCAACCCCAAAACAGGTGGGAAGATGCTCAGGCAGGGCTCTACCAGGTCCTGGCATGAGGGTGCCCTGAGGTGGTAGAACCCTTGTCCCCAGCACCCTGTGAGGGTCTGTCTGACCAGCAACGTGAGAGAAGGGCTGAGCCAGCTGTGGACACCCCGGGGGCTCTGGTTTGGGCTTAGAGGGGCTGTGCCTTTGCCTTAGGTCTTGATGTGGAGCCAGAGATGTGCCAGAGGCTCCGGGGAGCAGCATGTCCCCCTCTGCTCAACCGGCCAGGGCTGTGTACATTGTGGGTGAAACAGGGCTGAGGTTTTGCTCCCAGGCTCTGCAGGGTGATGTGCATGATCGTGTTGGGGCTGGGGGTGTCCTGTCCCCTCCAGCAGGAGAAACCTGCTGCTGCCTCACTCTCTGTCTCCTTACCAGTTTCAGAAGTTTCTCAGCTTATCCCGTCCATCGCTGGAGTGTGAGAGCCCTGCCCTGGAGCAACCCAAGGCTCTCAGGTCTCTCAGCAGTGGCAGCAGCGTCTCTGTGGTTGGGAAGGTGAGCAGCTGAGCAGGGGAAGCTGGAGGAGCAGTGTCAGGGTGGGGTAACTGTGTCCCTGTTGTTGGTACCTGGCCCCTGCCTTGCCGCCTGGCACAGGCATCCTCTCCCAGAAGTGATGCTTTTACAGGGCACCCATGGCTGGGAGCAGGGCCTGCCCCAGCTGGTGGGTGCTGTGGGATGGGGGATGCTGTGGATGCCCCCATAGGGGTGGACAGGTTTCCAGCTCTGTTGTATCTTATTGGGAGGGTCAAACGTGTTCTAGCTTTTTGTCTGCCATGGTGTTTTGCTGCAGAGTTGCAGCAGACCTGCAGCTGGCTGTGCCTGGGGGGCTCTGATAAAAGCCCAGGAATGATGCTCAATCTGGTTCCCCTTCTCAGACCGACACAGACGTGGCTTGGGACCGTGTCACTCATGGCCTCGAGGACCCGGTGCTGACAAAAAAGCAAGTCTGCAGCACCCCAAGGGTGGAGAGGAAGGTGGGCTGGCACCGGGCCCGAGAGCAACCCTTGCCACAGCGCAGCGATGGGGAGGAAGAGGAGGAGGAGGCGGCTGCCTTGAGCCCGGAGCTAGACAGCAGCATGGAGGCTGGGGAGTTTTGTGTGAGTGGGGCTGGGGTGGCACTGGAGGAGCGTGAAGACCCCTGCATCATTAACACGGGGGATGTGTCCCTGAGCGAGCTGGTGAAGTCCATGCACCCTTACTGCCTGCCCACCTTCACTGTGTGCCTGGACCCTGAGACTGAGCCTGTGGCCAAGGAGCTCCTCAGCGGTCCTGTCTTGCTGGAAATTGTGCCTGGCGAGGGGGAGAGTGTGGAGATTCCCGTGGTCCTGCAGCCCTTGGCTCCCAGCTTCCCCAACCTGGAGCCTCAGCTCCTGGGAGCAGAGGAGGGTACGGGGGAGTCAATCCCAGAGGATCAAGAGGAGCTGCCAGGAGCTCCAGCCCAGGAAAACAGGGTGGAGGAGGAGAAGGAGGAGAAACTGCCTGGGAAGGAGCCCTCCTGCACTACCCCAGAGAGCACGTCCCCACCGGAGGCAGCAGCACCCAGAGCCTGGAGCCCCAACAGCAGCTCCCGGCACAGCACAGAGGCCCCAGTGGGTGGCAAACGTGAGGGCTCCAAGAAGGGACGTGGCCGTGAGAGAGCAAGGAAGAGTCGGAAAAAGAAAGCTGAGGAGGACCAAAGTGAGCAGCCCAGGCCAGGCAGGGACAGCGTGGCCCACCGGCTCCGCTCAGCCGGCTCTGGGCAGCCACTGAGCCAGCCTGCTGGAAGCCGGCGGCGGGCAGCGTGTCCCTCCGTCCAGGTCTCGGACTTCCTGGCGCGGCAGCTGGAGCGAGCCCAGAAGGAGGGGCAGATGGAGCTGCGTGCGGAGCAGGCACCACGGCCCCGGGGCAGGCCCCGGAGCACGGTGAGGGCCTCCCTGCTTGAGAAAGCACAGCAGGAGCTACAAAAGGAGCCGGTTATAGAAACAGTGAGCATGGCCCTGGAGAAGGCTGAGACTGTGGTGCCTCTGGAGAAGACCACACCAAGTGCGGAGGAGCAGCCAGCAGCTGTATGTCCCGGCCCTGCAGACCAGGCTGAGGGCAGGGGAGATGCACACCCGGCTGCCGGACAGGGTGGCAGAGTCTCAGAGGCTGCCTCTCCACTCCCAGAGCGAGACATGGGGCTGGAGCCTTCCCCGAGCCTGCTGGTGACAGAACCGAGTGAGGGCCTGCCCAGGGAAGCCAAACCCAAGGCCTTGAGCCTGCGGGAATACCGCATCCGCATGCTGCACCGCCAGCCCAGCCAGGGCAGCAGGAAGGATGGCGAGAAGCAAGTGGCCAGCAAGTGGCCCAGTGTCCCTGAGCCTCCAACGGAGCTGGCAGAGATCCTCTGCCTGGTGTCGCCTGTGCGCCCAGCCGCAGAGGCAGCCAGCACGCAGAAGAGCCCGGAGAAACCCAGCAGCCCTGCTGCTGTCCCTTCTGCCAGCAAAGCTCCTGCCGCTCTGGCTTCGGCTCTGGCACCCACCACGGCTCCACCACCCCCATCAACACCAATGCCTTTTGTTGCACCAAACGTGCCCCCAGCTGCTGGGGTGGCCCCCGCCAGGATGTCGCCAGCTTCTGCCAGTGCTTACACCCTTTACCCACCAGTGCCTTCCTGGCCCTGCTTCAGCCCGCAGCCCGTGGGCTGCCATGGTTTGCCCCCGCCGCCCAGTGCCAGCTCCTCCAGTACTTTTCACATGGTGCCTGGCCTCCCGCCTCCAGCCATGGCCTGGCCCCAGCCGGCCGTGCCACCCCCACCTCCATTTGGCCCCGGTGGCCCCTATGCCCCGGTGGGGTGGCCACCACCATCGTACTGGCCAGGAATCCCCATGCCACCTCCGGTGCCTCCCCTGGCATACGGGGACCCTGGAGCGGCGCTGCAGGGCCACCCCAGCACGGCCCTCCTGCACGGGCAGGCTCCCACCACCCCTGCGCTCGCCTGCCCGGAGCCACCAGCCTTCCCTGCGCAACCGCCCACCGCCCCAGCCAGCGAGACAGGGGCTGCAGGTGGCCCGGCCAGGCCAGTGACCAGCAGGGTGTCAGACCCCAGGAGGCAGGCACGGCTGGCAGGGGAGAGCTCTCACCCCAAGGCCCCTCCGGCCCCAACCCCTGCCCAGCCCCTGGCAGCCCCATCAGCTGCCACTGCCCAGCCCAGCAAGGTCCCTCCTGCAGCGCCAGCCCAGCACATGGCAGCCCCCCAGGCTGCCCCCTCCCAGCCTTTGGAGGAGCCCCAGGCTGTGACCCCCACCCATCTCCCAAAGGCCCCCCCAGCTGCCATCTCTTACACTGCGGAGGTGTCCCCTGCCGCTGGCCCAGCTGTGGAGTCCCCTGGCACCCACCTGATGGAGGAGGCTGCAGGGCCAGGCAAGGGGGCAGTGGAGAAAGCCCTGCCGGAGCCCATAGCAGCTGCTGGGCAGGAGCTACCCAGCCAAAAATCCACCTCCCAGGCTGTGGCACCACCACCGAAAGCGGGTCAAGAGAGCAGCCTGCCCTGCAAGGCACCTGCTGCGCGGCCGTGGAGGCACCAGCCGCTCCTCAGCGCAGTGCAGCCCAGTGATAGGAGCAAGGACATCGTACAAGCCTTCATCAGCGAGATCGGTGAGTGGGAGGGCTGTGGGGTGATGGTCTGAGTGTCGCCAGCCAGCAAGGCAGCGGTGCTGCTAGCAGCCCAGGTAGCGGGACTGGTTCCTGGCACTTCTGGGGGCAAGGGTGGCAAAGCTGTGCCTGTGGCCTTGTGGTTTTTTCCCAGCGCTCTGCCAGGATGTTGCCTCCAGTGGATGGTCTGGGCTGGCTGTGCCCAAACTGGTCCCTCCTGGGGCTGCGGAGCTAGGTGCTCCTGTCTTCTCTGTGGGAGATGCGGAGCTGCTGCAGCTCTGCCGCTGCTTCTCCTCCCCAGTGCTCACCCCATCACCTGGGGAGGTTCATGCAGGAGGAGGATGTGGCTGGGGTGCATCCCTATGGTGCCAGGAGGGTTTTGGCTGACCTGACTTGCTGTGTTCTCTCCCTGGCCCAGGGATCGAAGCCACCGACCTGTCCAGCCTGCTGGAGCAGTTTGAGAAGTCTGAAGGTGCGGATGCAGTGTGGTGTTCCCCATGGGGCTCCCTCCATGCCGTGCCGGCCTCCCTAGGCTCCCTTGTCCTGGGGGTGTCTCTGCCCCTGTCTCCTTCTTGGCCTGTGAGAGTGGGCAGGCTTCCTCAGGGTGGCCAAAGGGGTGGTGAAGAGCATGGGAAGGAAAGGGGATGTGCTAGGTTTGGGGTGCTGTGAAACTTCTCCCTGGCCATGCCTGGGGTGCTCTGTATGTCCCCCCACATGCAGGGTCCAGCCCCTGCCCTCCAGCCCCAGCCTCTTGCCACCCTCACCCACCCGCTTGCTCTCTTTTTAGCCAAGAAGGAGGTGGCTCCTGTGCAGTCCCCTGAGGACAGACGACCGGCGGGGAGCTTTGGGTGAGTACCAAGACCTTTGTAGCCAGTGCCCCAGCGTGGAGCTTGGTAGAGGGCTGAGCCCTGCCTTTGGTGGGGGCACAGGGCAGCTCTCAGTCCTGGCAGAGTCTGAACTGCACCAGGGGCCATGTCCACTGGCCCAGGAGGGGCTCAGCCCCTCGCTGAGCTGGGGGCCGGAGCTGGCACTGAGGGGGGAAAACTGGGGGAAGTGGTGATGGAAATGACAAGGCTGTGCGAGTTCCATCCTTGCAGCACTCTGGGATCCTCAGTCCCTCTGGTCTGGATGGTGGGGCAGCTCAGGTGGGTGCCCCAGGAATGGGGACTGGGACTGGGGTTTGGCTGCTGCATTTCACAGAGCTCTTTTCCCTTTCTCAGGCCTGAGACCCAGCAGGACAGGAAGCCCCCAGATGGCCTGCAGGCCTCTGAGCTGGCCAATGTGGCAGGTAATGCCCAGTGCGAGGGGGGGGAGCCCACAGCGTCCTGCTAGGGGCTGTCCTGGGGCTGAGCGAGACACTGGGGCTTGAAGGAAACTGGTCTGGGAGGTGGCCCCAGCTGAGTGGGTTGCAGCAAGGGGCTGCTTTTGAAAGCCCTCTGGTGTTCTTGCAGGCCTTACCCCCCCAGCGACACCCCCCCACCAGCTTTGGAAGCCATTGCCTGCTGTCTCGCTGCTGGCCAAGGCCCAGTCACCTGGGTCTGCACCCCAGGAAGGGCCCCAGAAGACAGCTAAGCTGATGAAAGTCAAACCGCTGCCCCCAAGTAAGCTCCAGGGGAAGAGCCTGGTGCCAGCCCCCACCGGCTCAGCCCCCAGCCACGTCTGCTTGGGAGACCACGACTACTGCATCCCAGGCGCAGCGCAGCCGGAGGGTAACGGCAGCCCAGGCACACAGCCCCCAGCTGAGGGCGGCTCCCGCTGGAACGTCAAACGCCACCGGGACATCACTATCAAACCCATCTCCTCCTTAACCAAACGGACGCTGGACCAGCCCAAGCCCACCTTGCCAGCCCCCACCACCACCGTGGGGCCCAGCCAGGAGCCTCTGGGGACAGCCTGCCTTGCCCCACTGGATTATCGGACTAGCGTCCCCGACAAGGCCACCGCCGGGTGCAGCAGCCCTCCCACGTCGGTGCTCCTGTCTCCAGCTGCATCCCCCTGCCGGGACCAGGAGCTGCGGACTCCCAGTGCCCAGCCCAGCCATGCTGCTGCCAAGAGATCTCTGCGCTGCTACCGGAGACCCCGGGACTCGCCCAGCCCCTCTGCCAGCAGCTGGAGGGCTGGCCGGAGCCGTGCAAGCCGCTCTTTCAGCTCCAGTTCGGATGGAGCTAGCGAGTCCTCATCTTCATCTTCATCTTCATCCTCGTCCTCCCGATCCCGGTCACGGTCGTTCTCCCCACCACCCAAGCGGTGGCGAAGGTAAGCAGTGGAGCATCTGTCTGCTTGTTCTTTGGGCAATTGTTTGGTGGCTGGTCTTTTGTGAGGGTGCCCAGACACCTCTTTATGGGTCCACTTGATGTCTGTATTTGATATTTTTGTACTTGTGGCCCTTCTGGAGGAGTGCTTGGCTTGCAGAGACTGGGGGAGCAGCTGCAACACCCTGCCACTGGGTGTCTGGCTGAACCCCACGTCTGGGCAGGTGTGCCTGCAAAGCCACTGCTGAGCCAGGCTTCCTTACTCCTCCTGGAACACCATGGTACAAGTCCTTGGCTGCACCTCGGCTTTTGGATGCTTTTTCTGGGGTATTATTGCAGATGTTTGTGCTGTGAGGCTGGTGCAGCCCTAGATGTAGAAATGAGAAGAGCCACAATGGAGCCCTCGAAAGAGCTGCTGGAGGCAAGCAGAGGAAAAACCTGTCTGGTTCGGCTGCCTCAGGGGCTCCCCGTGCTCCTTATGGAGGTTGCTGTGTAGGAAAGTGGGGCGTCTTGGTCTCTGCGGAGTGCGTTTCTTTTGGTGTCCTTGTGCATCTAAGTGATGCACAGCCTGTCCCAGCTGGGGTGGGAGGCACTGGAGATGGTGAGGGATCCCTCATTCACCCTTCCTTGAGTGTTCGCGTGGTTCTGGAGACATCCCAGATCACTGGGCATGAAGAGCTTGTGTCCTGGGTTTGGCTGGGATAGAGTTAAGGCCCCTCCATCAGTGGCCAGTAGGTGTGAAGGCTGGAGCTGGAAAGGGCACGTATATAGTGCCATGTCCCAGGGATGTGCAGCTCAGGGACTTGCCCCATGTGGCTTGGCTTTCCAGCAAATGAAACTGGTCCTGTGCTGGGAAATGTCCCCATGGGCTGTGCTATTCTGACCTGCTCTTCTCCAGGACAGTATGTGGCAGCACCAGGCAGCACACCCTGCTCAGGGCCTGGGTTTGCCTATGGCGAGGACCACCTGTGGCCAGCATGTTTAGAGAGGGGACCCTGCTGCTGGCTGGAGGCAGCACAGTTTGATCCCAGAGGGGTTTCGGTGCCTTTAAGCTGCCTTTAAGCTTTTCCTGGCCCTGCCAGAGAAGCTTGTGCTGACAGGAGGCTGTGGGCACAGAAGCCCAGCCCTGTCCTGTGCGTGCCACAGCCCTCGGTGTGGTTGGAGACGTGTATGGTCTCCATTTGCACGGCTGCAGAGTGCAGTGCGGATGTGATGGCTCCAGTGTCATCCTGTGCGCTGTGTGGGGCTCAGCACAGCAGCCCCAGCTCCTCCTGGGCCCTCGCCTGGTTGCAGCCATGTGCTGCATGGTTCCCCCGTGATTGTTTCTTGCTCTTCAGAGGCTGTTCCTGTTGTGAGCCTGCTACCTTTTTGGTGCGGTGTTTGAAGCCAAGCGGAGCAACATCTCTGTAGTGTCATTACTGCCCTGGGAAACTTGGGCAGAGGTTTCCATAGCCCAGCTCACCCTGGGGATGGGCCCTGTCAGAGTGGGGTGCTGGGTACCTTGGAGAGGACGAAGGTCTTTCTCTTCTCTGGAGCCTCGTGGTGCTGGGCATGGGGTGGGCTTGACACTGAGCTGTGTCTCTCCTTCCCCCAGGTACCGCTCAAGATGTTCCCACAGCTCCTCCTCCCATTCCAGCTGTGGGTCATGTGGCAGGTCCCGGGACAGGTCCTCATCCTCGTCATCAGTGTCCTCCTACTCGTCCAGGTCCACATCCCGCAGCCAGTCCCGCTCCCCCTCACCATGCAGGAGGAGTAACAGGCGGAGAAGGTGAGCATGGCCACCCTGCAGGGGTCTGAGCTCCCTCCAACCCACCTCTGGGCCTCCTGTGTCCCAGGCAGGAGTGGATTCACTCCTTCAGTATCTCCTTTGTGTCTGGGATCACTCCCTTCTGGCACCCCCTTGACCCTGTAGCTCATGTGTCCCGTTTCTGCCCTTCCAGATACAGTTATGATGCACAGGACCACTACCAAAGGCAGAGGATCCTCCAGAAGGAACGTGCAATAGTGAGTGCTGGACAGCTAGGAAACTGAGGGTGGAGATTTGGGTGTCCCCAGCCCCTCCAGAAAGCCGTGGGGTCGCAGCCTTGCAGGCAGCATTGCTGGGAGGCTCTGGCAGGGTGTGGTGTGATGGGTGTCAATGAAGGGAGGGTGCTGGCTGTGAGAGGTCCTGCCCTTCAGGAGGGCTTGGAGACACAGAGTCCCCCCATTCCCGTCTCATGGGACGGTGCATCCCTGCCTGCAGGAGGAGCGGCGAGTTGTGTTTATTGGCAAGATCCCCAGTAGGATGACACGATCAGAGCTGCGGCACCGCTTCTCTGTGTTCGGGGACATCGAGGAGTGCACCCTGCATTTCCGCTCTGAGGGGTAAGAGCTGTGGGGACATGGGGCAGCCCCTTCCTGGGAATGGCTCCTCTTTTCCCATTCCTCAAAGGGATGGAGCAGACCAAGGGGGGACAAACGTACTGGGTTGCTGCTGATCTCCTTCCTTCTTCTCCGGCTCAGGGACAACTATGGCTTTGTCACCTACCGCTATGCCGAGGAAGCCTTTGCCGCCATCGAGAGTGGGCACAAGCTGCGGCGCCCGGACGAGCAGCCCTTTGACCTGTGCTTCGGTGGCCGCCGGCAGTTCTGTAGGAGGAACTATGCTGACTTGGGTGAGTTGTGCAGTTCCCAAGTTGGGGGGTGGCACCCTAGGTCCTCTCTCCTTTCCAGAGGTCTAGGGATGTCTCCATCCTTGGGGTCAGTCAGGCTTGGCTGGGCAGGACCACATCCAGGGATAGTCCTGCCCCACAAGGAGGTTGGACAGGGGTCCCTGTTCCTCCAGCGCTGTGGTGGAGGCCAGGTCTGGTCCTTCATCAGCCTAGCTCTGGGTCTAGAGGTTGACATGTGAAATGAGATGGAAAGGAGTTGCTGTGGGGGTGGCTGGAACTGTGCTGGTGTCCCCATGGCTCAAGGCAGCCTCTCCCCATGTCTTCCAGACTCAAACCGGGAGGATTTCGACCCAGCCCCTGTCAAGAGCAAGTTTGACTCCCTGGACTTCGACACGCTGCTGCGGCAGGCACAGCGCAGCCTGCGGAGGTAGCGGCAGGCGAGGCGGAGCGCCCGCCCCCACTTTTATATTCAAATACAAAAGACAAAAAAAGTATGGAAAGTATGGAGAGAGAGAGAGAGAGAGAGATGGGGTTTTTAAGAAAAAGAAAAAGGAAAAAAAGAAATTTGTTTTATAACCAATATTTAAGGAGGACGGGTCATTTGCCTTCGACCAGAGGGGCCCAGGCCAGTGGCAGCCCCAGGCTTGCCCCAGCCATGTAATAAATGTGGATGCCCAAACAGCAGCGCTGCCTCGTCTCCTCCTTCGTGTGGGCCATTCCCAGGCGTGGGCTTGGGCTGTGCCCCCTCAGGACCCCGGGGGCTCTGTGCTGGGTCTGACCCTGTGAGAGGTAGCACAGGTCAGGGACTGGGTGCAGGAGTGGGGTGTCTAGGGAAAGTGGGGCAGGACTGGGATCACTGAGCCCCTCCGAGGGGTCTGTGACAGCCCCCAGACGGCCTGGCACGGGGTCAGTGCCTCTGAGGACAGGCAGTGCAGACCCCTCAGACTGTCTGTCAGGCTTTGCTGGAGCAAGGACTTGGCACCCCAGCCCCGAGCACCCACCTGGGTTTTGGGGCCACCTGCATCTCCCGTGGTGGCCACGGAGGGGCAGTGCAAGATCCTCCACCACCGCTCCTGCTGTGGGCTGGGGTACAAGGGGTTCAAGCCCTTGGCAGGAGCACCTGCCCGCTCTGAAGGCAGCATGTGCAACTGTGATGTCTGCCTGTCCCCTTCAAACCCACTCGTTGGTTTTGCTCCAGCTCACCAGAAGGAAAGGGATATCTGACATCACATCTCGGGGTGTCCCGTGAGGGAGATGTGTTGGTGTGACTGCAGAGAGGTTACAGGTATCCACAGTGAGCAGAGCACAGCAGGATGTTGTTTGGCAGAGGAAGGATGGACAGTGTCAGGGAGGGGATGCAGGACGCCTGGCCAGGCCTCCCAGTGCGCTGCAGCTTCACGGAGGAGGAGGAGGGGGGTGATCCCAGGCAGCCCCCAAGGGGTTGTCCCTGGGCCTGCTGCCAAGCATCTTTCCTGCACTTTGTCCTGAGCCAGCAGTGCCAGGGCCCTGCACCCTGCTTTTGTGCTGACAGACAGAGAAAAGCCCTGCCTTGGGCTGCTCCTGGGCTGGGACAAACCCTGGGATCCCCAGCACCAGAGTGGGGCTGAGCTGACTGTGCTGACTGGGAACCCAGAGATGGCATTGAGCACCCTGGCAGCAGGACTGGGACAGGCTTGGGCAGGGTGCAGTGGTGCTGGGCCCCCTCTCAGCACCCCCTGGGGTGGGGGAGCCTGCAGCTGCCCAGTTGGGCTCTGCAGAGCTGGGGGAGTATGGAGGGAAGGGATGGACAGGGGATGCCACCCCCCAGGGCACTTTGTAGTGCCTGGGGTGGGAGGGAGCTGGTCAAAGTCCCCCCAGACCCCTTGCTTGATAGAAGCAATGCCCACTCCTCTAGTAGGAGAGCAGGGAGGGGAATAGCAGCAATAAACCCAGGGTGGGGGGTTCAGCCAAGCTGATGCTGCCATTTAGATCACGCTCAGGCCTCTGAGGCCCTTTGAGAATGTTCCTGGGGTGTGCTGCAGCAGCAGTCTTATGGTCCGGGATTACCACAGCACCTGGGGCCCACTTGTGCCCTCTCTGCTCCTCTGGATGGAGAGGGATGCTCCCACCTGCACACCGGGTGAGCCATGCTGCTCCGTAGCTCAGTCCAGGGAGGCCTCCACAGTACCCCAGGTATGCAGGATGCAGTGAGGCTGCCAGCGGGGTGAGCCCTCAGGCAAGCTCCCACCCTGTCCTCTCCTGCCTGGCCCTGGACTTTGCACAAGGGAGGGTCCAAGGAGGCAGCTGCAGGCAAAGGTGTGAGCGGGATTGTGGGGAAGGGAGGCAGGGGGCTGTTAATCAGTAATGCCGCTCTTCCCAGGGACGTCATCTTGGCAGGAGGGTCGAAAGCCAGGGCCTTGTGGGGAGGATGTGAGTGTCCCTTTTTGAGAGCCCATGCAAACCCCTTTTGCTGCAGCACACATGCAGCCCGTCTCCTGCCCAGGGCAGCTGTGCTGATCACAGTGCTGACAAGCATCTCGTGGGTTTCCAAGCTGCCACAGCAGCACTGAGGCTGTGTAGATCTGAGCAAAAGTGTTGCAGGGAGAGTGCCTCTTCAACCAGCTGTGAACACACCCCCAAGCTGTAGCCTGATTTGGGTCTGAGGTGTGTGGGCTTGTGTGCCCAAGAGCTGAGCTGCTGTCTCCAACTGCTTTAGGTTGTCTGAAAGTTTCTTCACAGCTTTTCCTTAAACCTCTGCTGCAGCTGTGGAGGCAGATGGGAGCTGGAAGTGTCACCGGGAAGCTGAAGCTGGGCATGAGGGACAACCCTTGGCAGAATGACCCCTGGGGATGTGCTACCCTGAGGCGTGTGCATTTGGGCAGCCCTGTGAGCATGGCGTCACCCCAAATGCTTGTGTCGCTGGCTGCAGCGTGAGCAAGGCTGTATCCTTGCCTTCCTGGGGCTGGGCTGCACTTGGTCCCCTTTCCTTGCTCCTGCAGGTGAGGAAAGGCAGGGAGTGTGAAAGCGTTTGTGTTGCCAGAAGAATTAACACCCTGCTGTTGTGCCCTATAAATCTTTCAAGTGTTAGAGGCTGGCTTTATCCCCTCTGTGTTACAGTTTAATGGTTTCCGTTAGCAATAACCTGGCCCTGTGTTCTGGGGTTATTGATTTAAGGTCTGTTGAGGAGGGTGTGAGAGTTGCAGAAAGGTGTTTTCCTGCTGCCCAGCCAGCAGCAAAGGCGCCATCGCAAAGAGGAGGCAGGAGAGCAGGAAGCGGTGCACAGCCAGCTCTCTGGAAGCGTGGGTGCTGGTGGGAGTTGTCTGGAGAGGACTGGGGACAGCGGTGAGGAGCAGCACTCAGAGCACATCCCTCACTCAGCCCTGCAGCCAGCAGGCACAGCTGCATCTGCAGAGGTGACAGTAGCTGTTGTGGTAGCAGGGCAGCACGGATACATCTCCTGTCTTCTAACACAGGCAGGATGTGCCTGCCTTTGGCTCTTGCTGGAGCTGTTGCGTGCATGGATGGCCCCTGGCTCGCTGGCAGGCAGCTCTGTGTGCCTCCCCCGTGCCAGACAGACCACCCTGCTATGCTGCAGACAGCCCGCTTTGGGAGTTTGGACCTGGAGCTCCTAAGGCAGAGCCGTGCCTTGGCTCTCCTCTGCGCACACCAATAGGTAAGTCCTGCTGGTGGCCACTTCACTGGCCCAGAATAGTCCCCTTCACCTTGCAGATGCCCTGTGGAAGAGGCGGAGTGTGCAGCTCATGCACAGCCTTTGTCCTGCTGGCGACCCGCGAGGGTTTCCCCTGCCAGAGGGGAGGAGCAGAGATGGAGCATTGTAGGGACCCCAGCTCCTCGGGAGAGTCTCTTGGAAACAAATCCGTTTCACCCAAGGCACATGGTGTAGGACAACCAACCTTCCTCCTACAAGTCTCAGCATCCTTTGGCATCCTTCACTGCCTGTGTGAGTGGCTTTGCTCTGAGAGGTAGCAGCCCGTAGCTGGGGACTACACAGGGGGTGTTTTCTCAGAGGTCACTAAGCGGAGCTTGGGTTTTCACTCCATTTCTCTTCCTTTCCCCTGTTCCTGCTGCACATCCCACTCTCTTGTCCCTAACCCTCCCTGCCTTGCTGCTGGAACAAACTTCCAAGGAACTGATGCTGATTTCACACCTTCTTCCTCCCTTTCCCTTTTCATTCCCTCTTGCATTACTATGTCCTGAACATGATCTCCAAGCTAGAAAGCAGCTAGAAGGGCATTCAGAGTGGTCTCTAATTGTGAGTAAAACCTGGAAGATGAGCGGTCTGTGTTCCATCCATAAGCTGGTTTGGACCCCATGTGCAAAAGGCAGCAGGGCAACAGGAGATTCTGACAGCAGCACTCCTTGCACACCTCTGCCCGGGGCTGGGGGCTGCACAGCCCTTGTCCTCAGCTTTGCAGAGCTCAACATTTCCCTAGCAACAGCATAGCCCCTTACCCTCAGGAAAGGTTATTCTGGGACCTTGGAGTTGGATGCTGCCAGGTGCTGAGCACCCACACTGCCATGAGGTAGGTGTGTTTTTCCACACATAGGATGTTCACACTTAAGATCCAACTTAAGATGTTGAGTGTGCTCATCCTGAAAGCTGACAGGAGGGACTGCTGTGGGGAGAGGTGCCAGGCACAAACCTGGCTGTGCAGTGCTCCTCACTGTTTGCACCCATTCCCTTCCTTGGGACCACCAGTCCTTGAGATTCTGACTGACTCCGCACAGCCAAGAGCTTGGGGGTCCCGACCCAAAGCAGGGACTGCTGCTGTGTCATGTCTGTGCCCCCCCAGCCTGGGCTTCCTGCACTGGGAACCTCACAGGGGTACCCTGCTTCAGGGTACCTGCAGAGGGGGGTCATGGGAGTTTGGTGCTGGGATCACTGGAAATGTGGGCTCAGAGGGGCCCCTGAGAGCTGGGAGACACACTAGACCCCCTGTGGTATGCAGAGCCTGCAGATTCAGGCCTCCCTCCCTCACACTTTCTCTGCTCTCATACATCCCTCATCCCAAATCCCTGCCTGCCTGCAAGAAAGCCCTGGAGGCCAGCCAGTGGATGTGCATGCTTTAAATCTGTGCTTGTACAGCTGAGAGCCTGGGTTAAATCCTATGTTCTCTCTTACAGCTGCTTTTGCAGTTATCGCATGTACTTGTGTTCACACTGGGGCAGCCCTCCAGGGTCACCCCATAGCCAAGTGTGCTGCAGTTGCGAGTAAAGGTGCAATGAATGTTCTGCCGGTGCCTCTAAACTGGACACCTGCTCCGCTACCCCCATAAACCAGGTGCTGCAAATGCTTCCTGACTCCTCAGCAAAAAAGCTGCAGATGTAACATGCCACAGGAAGCAAGCAAAGGGATTAAGGGACCATCAGATCTGCAGCCTGGTGATGGCAGAGAATTTGAGGGAAAAATTACATAGGATCTAGAAAATAGACGTGAATTTAGAGAAGTGCAAAAAAGCCCAAAGCCTGAAGCAAAACAAAAAAACCCAAAACCACACAAAAATGCAACCACAATATTTTTATCAATCCAGGAAAATTCCCTCCTGACCCTAATCTGGCAATAGTGTTAAGCCTAATGTGTGAGCAGACCTCTGGGACTGTAATGCTGGGAGCACCAATGCATGAGGCCCAGAGCTTGTTTAGTGCCCTGGGAGAAGGAAAACCTCAATACCTTTAGAAGC